TGAGACCAAGAAATGAAGAGCTGTGACTCCTTCTTCGACCATTGGGCTGGGAAAAGAGACTTTGGAACTTTTCTCGGGGTCACTCTGAGCAGCTAAAGGAATGACTGGGCCCCAAAAGGCAGCTGGGGTGTGGAACCCTTCCTGAGCTAGGGCTGGGTGTGCTCAGCATGGAGCAGCTCTGCCTCTCACTGAATATCCAGGGGAGAAACCCCTCAAAGACATTCCTGTGCCCTCAGTCCCACCCTCAGATGCACCTCCCCAGCACCAAAAACCAGCAGATCTCATGCTTGCTGCTGTTTTAAAGCATAATTTGGACAGAGCAACTCATCCTGCCCCAGGAGCCCTCAGCCTGGCAGTGCTTGGTTAACCCTCCGGAGCCTCTGCTCGCTCCCCTTCCACCAGAAAAACAAAATCAAAAGGTTTCTGCCTCAGTTCCTCCAGGTCCTGGCTGCTCCTCATCCTCCCTGAGATGCTGCCAGAGCCACTGAGGGCTGAATCCCTCAGCAGGAAAGACAGGCAGACATCCCAGGGAAGGTGGGTTGGTGCAGCAGCCCCTTGAAATCCACTTGAAATCACATTTGGTGGCAAATTCCCAGCCTGGGTTGTCACAGTCTCTAAATGCTCAGTGTGGGGAAGCTTCCAGAATGAGAAGATGCTTTTGGTGAGTCAAGTTCAACTGGGAACCACCAAGAAACAGGAGATAAATTGGATTAGTGTGCAGTGGGGACACAGCTGGGCTGTTGGAACCTGACCTGGGCGAGGAGAAACAGAAATCAGCCCCAAGAGCAGGAATGGGGGGCACGGGTTCAGAAAACATTAAAAACCCTCAAGCAGCCCCAACCCTGCTCCCAGACAAGACAAGGACGAGGAGGGGATGCTTGAGCAGCCTCCAAAGCTGCAGGTTTTGCTCCATGAGAGCTCTGCCAGCAACCCAAGCCTAGCCCAGCGTGTTTGGGTTTTTTCCTTTGCCATCCACCAATATCCTTCCGCTCCCGATGTTCCTCTCTGGCTGGCTTTGGATGCAGATCCAGCTTTTCATGTGGTGCAAACACAACGTTTCTTTGGGTGCCAAGGACTGTGTGTAACTTGTCTGCTTGGGAGTGTTTGCATCTTGGACCATAAGGGAACAGAGAAGGCTGCCCAAAATGTTGTTGGTATTTTTAGGCCAAGACAAATCTGTTCGATGCTGCGAGCGCGGGTTGAGCATCCCGGAGAGGCTGCCAGCATCTGCACAGCAAAAGGGGGCATGACCTGCCTCCAACTGGCCAAAAAGGACATTTTGGAAGCATTTTTAAGGCCCCTACAAAGCTGTGCTGTGGCAGAAGGGTCTCAGATGTTGTGAGATGCTCGGCTCAGCCGTGGGGTGAAAACCTCAAATCTCTCAAAAAGACACATTTTACAGAGAATAAAAAAGAAAGCAAGATTTTTGGGGGAAGAGGCAGGCTGGGGTTTTTTTTTTCCCTTCTCCTTCATGAAATCAAAGGCTGAGCACAGTGGCCAAGGGGCACCAAAGAAATTCAAAAGCAGAAGCTCAATTCCTCCAGCAGTGCAGGCTGTGCTGCTCCACTCTGCCACAGTGGCTCTGAGGGCATTAACTGATGCCCATAATGCCACTAATGACAAACTCAAGCCCTTCATTTGTCTGTCTGTCCAGGTGTAATGGCAGCTGCCCCCATGCTGAGGTCCCTGCAGCTCCATCTGCCCAGCCACTGTGAGGGACAGGATGTGACCAAGGACCAAGGCACTGCTGGCACTGCCCTGAGAGCCAAATGTGCCCCATGCTCCCTCTGCCAGCATCAGGGACAAGGGCAAAGCTCAGCAGAGAGCCAGTGTGGGCATCTGAGCATCTCCTGCGATGCCAGCAGGCTGGAGGAGAGCAGCCTTGAAGTGGGCACAGTTTGGGCATGGTGCCAG